AGCTGGAAAAATAAACACAAAATAAGTGTACTGAATGTCAGTCTGCAGGGAAAACCAGGTACTGGCTGACAGAAAAAAGGAGCAACTCACCTTGCTAGGGGCGGGCTAGGGAGGGGTCGGGGAAGGCTTCCTAGAAGAGGTGGCCTGGGAGCTGAGACGGGAAGGAGAAATGGGGGCTGATCAGGCTGCTGAGCGTGAGGACGGGGAAGCATCCATTCCACCTCCATATTTGGGTGCCTTCCTTTAGCACATGCTGCCAAAGGAAAGGCTTTGTAGTCACCCACTGTTCCCTGCCCCTCCCTCCAGCCTCGTGTGCCTCCTTGAAGGTGGGCAAGTCAAGGAAATTACAGTGTTCTGCCTGGGTGGGGAGAGTATTTACAGCTTGCACTAAGTATGATTTTGCCCACAGTCTTCACTCTGAAGCTCCACCTTCCCAGGTCCCCAGCCTCTGCAGTTCCACAGGTTCTTGCTCCCTGGACAGCTCCCACCTGGCCCTGCCCCTGACTGGCGTCACTCCAGCCTCAGCTCCCCTCACTTCGGTTGCTCCACCTGAGGAGGGGAAGGGAAGACCCCTCATTAGAGCAGTGCGCCCCAAGTCTTTATTCTCCTGCTCCTGTCCAGGGTGGGGAGAGGAGCCCAGGGGTGCAGGGGGTCTTCCAAGTCAGCAGCTGGGAGGAGGGTGCCTACTGTGGGCCGGGGCCAGCCTGTTGGGGTGGTTGTGAAAGAAACATAGGAGAGGCACTTCCAAGCAGGGCAGGGGCCCATAAACTTTAAACTTTTAAACATCCGTTCTGTATACTTCTTTTCAAACCATCCCTCAGTCTGCTCGCTTCAGACAAGACACCCTCCAGGGAGAGGGCATTTTAATTTGCAATCTTCTGTGATCTTCAGCTGGCCAAGTACCATAACTAAATTAGCAAGAGGGGAAGGGTGGGGCAACAGGGCTGGCCGGTCCTGGAGGGTGTGAGGTTGTGCCTTTGGCTGTTTTCCTTACCTGGTGCAGTATAAGCAAGATGCTTAGAATTTGCTCTGGACTCTGCGCATGCGGGGCCCAGATGTTGGTTCTGCTGAGTCTGCTGTATCACTAAGCTGCGCAGGCTGGCCAGTCTGTGATCTGCTGGGATACAGAGCGGTTAGGTCTTTCTCCTCACACAGACTTGGGGCCTCTCCCACCAGACTCCGTAGGTGGCAGTTCAGGGCTCCCAAGATTGCAAAAGCCGCCAGGCCTTCTTAAAACAGGCCTGGCATAGGCCAGCATCTGCATTGTCCTGCCCTGAAAGCACACTCTCCTTGTGGGAACACAGATTCATATTAAGAAAATGTAAATAAATGCTTGTAGCTCTTTCTTGTAGTTAATTTGAAAACTTTGGAGGCTGGATTTTATTTTGTCAGTGATTTAGATAAGTTAAAACTGCATGTGTAATTTTAATTTTCTAATTGTTTTGACAAGCAGAATTTACTTAGACCACTCTGCAGGTTTCCTTAACTGTGGCCAAGTTTGTTTCACGTGTGTGTGTTTGTGTGTGTGTGTGTGTATACACATATTATTATGAACGGTTGTAAATTCATACACTTACCACATGAATGTGTTACTGTAAACAAAATTCTTAATGCTTTATTCTCAACTGCTTGGTTGAAAACTGTTTTGAAAGCCTTTTAAAATATATATTTTATCTCTTTATAAAGTGATATTCAGGATGCTGATGGAAATTGTTTATATTGTTATGATAAAAACGACGGTATAATGTGGAAAAAAAAGTGCACTATTAAAGTTACAGGACCAGTCCAGACCCAAGCGGAGTGTGAAGATCTGAGTGTGAAGAGCGGGCTGCGTGGCTCCCTAGTGTAAAGGGATATCCCACTGGCCATAGGGAGCAAAGGCCGAGCAGAGATGAGACCCTCCTTCAGCTGCCTTTCTTATGGGCCTCAGGGTCTGGTCTCTAGCACCATAGTCTTCACAACTGTCATAGCTACATAAGACCTTACATACATTTTACAATATCACGGACTTTGAGAAAGTCCACAGGCACCTTTGCTCCCCTTGACTTAGCAAATGCTCTACCCGCACACCCAACCCAGACCCTCATCTTGACCCTTCAGTCCCACTCTTGGCATCCTGAGGCCCTGTCCATCTAAGAGTGATATCAGACAGTCGCGACCAAGAGCAATGGTGGAATGGGGGCAGAAGGACCTCCTACATCTCTAATCTCAGCAGCTCAGTGATTCTACCTGCAATCTGCCTCTAGGCCAGGGGAAGACAGGGGCAGACACACCTCAGGAAAGAGATCTGAAGGCTTTTCCTAGGCACTGTGCCTTTAAGAGCCTTGGGCCAGAAAGAGACGGTGCCTGGGTGGTTTTGAAATGTACTGGGCCAGAGGGCAGAACCTCTTTTCCAACAAATTCCTAAGCATTGCATCTTCCCCAATATCTCCCCTGGGAACTGATGGTCCCTGAAGAAACTCTGCCTGAAAGTATTTGGAGCCACAGAAGTCTTAAGAATTTGACTCCAAAATTTTCAAAATAAGGACAGATAATATTTCAAACTCTAGATGACTTTCCAAGTGCTTTATGTACACTGACTCATTTCCACAGCAGCCAGGAGGGCACCACCACAGGTCCACCTCACACATGAGGGACTGAGGCTGACAAGTAGGCTGGGTGACTTCATGTGACTCAGCTGTGAGCGCCAGAGCCAGGTTTGGAGCCCAGGCAGCTAGCTCACTGTGCGGTGGGTCCTTGACCAGAGTTGAGCTGTTGCTGTCACTTCTATAAAATTTTCTGAATCAGTGCTTCCCTTTCCTCCGGGAACTTGGCTTTTTTCACCCAAAGTAGGGTTCTTTGTCCTTCTTCACCCTAGCAGAAGCAATGATACCTATATTTATTATAACTTTGGACAAGTTGCTGCTTCTAGGAATCAACTAATTAGAACATTGTTCTCATGTTGAGACTTCTGTTCTCCAACCAGTTCCTCATCTTCTGTGGCTTCCTGGGTCATGTATGTAACATGTATATACATGTTACATGTACATGCTGTGTCTATATCAAGAAACACAAATGGCTGGGTATGGCGGTTTGTATTTGTAAACTCAGCTACTTAGTGGGCTGAGGCAGGAGGATCATAAGTTTGAGGCCATCCTGGGCAACTTAGAGCCTGCCTCAAAATATAAAAATTAAAAGAGGGGCCAGGGATTTAGCTCAGTGGTTCCGCCACCTGCCTCATAAGCACAAGGACCACAGTTCTATCCCTGGTACCAAAAAAAAATTAAAAGGGCTGGAGCTATAGCTCAGTAATAAAATATCCCTAAGTTCAATAACATATATATATTTACATATCATATGTCACAAGCTGAGGCAGGAAGATATCCACAAGTTCAAAGCCAGCCTGGCCTACATAGTGAGACCCTGCCTCAAAAAAAGAAAAGAAATGAAATGAAATGAAAAAGAAAGGAAACTATATCCCTGAACTCCCAATGCAGAACATTTTGAGTAATGAGTATGTGACATAAAATGATAAATAGCTTGGGGGATTAAAGAATAAACACAGGAAGAATTTCCCTCCAAGCTCAACAAATACAATAATCTCCATAACTACAAACACCAGTACTCAAATAAATAAAATATAGCAAACAAAAGAGAAGAATAAACACAGAGCATCTGAGCTAAGTGCATGGATATTTGCTGTTGCTGGAAGGTGAGCTATGGACCAACATTATGTTTTGATGCAAAGAGCAATTTTAATGGCAATCCACTACCTAGGACACTGGGCAATGTTCTGCAGTGGACAGTGTCACCACTGAATATTTCCCTTGGTTGAGACTGACCACTGGTGGGAGCGGTCATCGATAGGATAAACATGAGCCATCAGTGGACATTTGCCCCGCAGTGAACATTAGCACAAGGAATGCTGACCACGGACAAGCAAGACCACATTAGCCTATGATGACCTCTACTGTTATAGACACTGCTTTCAGCAGGCACTAGCTGATAAGTCTTTAATTCTGTGACCACATAAAGTGAGTGGAGGGCAGACACCTGCCTCTCCTAGCCTGGGCTGTCTTGTCAGAGAAGCATCCTACAGGTTAGTCAGGGGGTCACTGGTGGTGGCAATGTGTCTGTTTCTCCACCTGCCTATTCCCTCTAAAAGCTCTCTAGCCATGGCAATTAGGGAACAGAGGGATGATTGCATTTGGAAGACCCTAATCCACTCTTAAACACCAGAAGAACTGGTTTACACACAGATCCACAGAATCTTCTGCCATCCTGACCAATACTGTCTGGTTATTTGTCTCTTCCTTCTCTGGACATGGGATGATCAAAGCTCAGCAAGCTGTAGTGGGACCACAGAAGGATCCCATACTTGGTTTCATACTCTGTTCTTGTCATCTTGAAATTCATAATAATCTTTTAAGAGGGGACCCCACATGTTTAGTTTACACAGGATCCTACTAATTACATAGCCAGTTCTGAAGCACAGAACCCTGGCCACCCACAGTGGAGCCCAGGGCTGCTTCTCTCTAGCCTGTCTCCCCAGTTTTGAAAAGGGGCCAGGAAGGGAAGGATTGTAATTGACCTTAGGGGTTTTTCTGCTCCAGGATCTAGAATGAATGGTCTGATAGGAGATATTTAGAGCTGTGTGACAGCCCAAGTTTATTTGCAACAGAGAAACAGATGGAATCCCAGTGCCTTTTGGCATCTCAGAACGCCCTACCCTCTCTGAAGTCAGAGCAGGCAAGGCACAGGGAATTGACATCTGACACCTGAGGCCAGTCTCAGGCAGGTTTCCTCATCTGTATGGTGCCAAAAACATAAAAATAAAAACCAACTTGGTGCAGTTGTGAGGATAGAAAGGGCCCTTCTGCGGCATCTATTATGTGCCAGGCACCATATTTAATTTCTTTGCAAATGTTACTTCATTTCCGTTTCCTGTGGATGGAGATATCTTCATCCCCATTTTACAGGCTCAGAGAAGAAAAAAGACTTAGCTACTTTCACACAACTGGTTTGTGATATACTCAAGATTTTAATCCTCCTGTGACTTCAAATCTTTACATGAATCCAAGATTCTAACGCCCTTGGCCAGTATTCCAGGGGAGGAGGAGGCTGGAGGGGCTGCTCCGGCTGCAAGGGAGGAGAAACTGGCAGCGCAAACCATGGCGGTGCTCTTTACCTCCAGCTGTCCGGGTTCTGCTCTGTGCGCGTTGCGGGGGGGGGGGGGGGGCTGGCTATGTGACCACGCGGTGGCGCTGCAGGCCAGGAGCCTCCGCACTAGGAGGAGCCATGCGAACACCCGGTCCCGCGAAGTTCAGGGCCTGAGGCAGGAGGCCAGAGCTTGGGGGTAGGGAGGGGGTGATGCTCCATCAAGATAAGCCCACAGGGTAGGGGCGTCCACCCCACCCTCTCACGAGCGCTTCACCCCCGCCCCGATTTGCAGATAGAAGTTGCACAAGCCCCTTCCTATCCTTTAGTCTTCTTTATACCTTATCTTTCAGTAGTTCTTGTACCTCCTCAAGGGCGGCTTTGGTTGAACCCAGGCACTTTGGGTGGAAGTACCCTGATCTCTCCCCACCAATGCCACTGAAATCTCTCTTGTCCCACGGAATGTCAGAGGCCCAGGGAGGTTGGTGACTAAAGTAGCCCAGCACAATGTGCATGGCCATGCCCTCTTCCCCACCTTTGGGGACACTTTGGACTATGAGGCCTGGGGACTCCCTCTGAAACCCCGTCACCTCCCCCCAATACCTCAGCTCTTTCCTACTGACGGGGGGGGGGGGGGGGCTGCTGCCTAGTCCAGGACTCCCATTGGTACAGGGAGACCTGACTTGCAAGATGGCCCCCGTGCCAGCCTCTCTCATCCTGGTCACTTGTCCCCAGTCATATGGATCCTCCACAGGACTGCCACTGCATGCTGCTTTTACACCCAAAGGCCTTCTGTGTGTCTCTCCCTCTCCCACATCAGGAATGAGAGCCCCCTAGAGCAGACACGGGACATGGTTGGATTCATCTTACTACCCAGCACGGGGTCTGGCAGACTACTCGGTGTGATCTAAAAATACAGTGAATACTTAAATTTTATTTAAATTATTACAGTGCAAAAGACATTGCCATGAATCCCCCTCAAGATACTCCCTTTGCTTTGCTTATCCCCTAACAGTTTGGAAGTCCTCTTTATGTTTTCAATTACGCTATCATTTCTGTCTCAATGTCCTGGATCGATTCAAAACATTTACCTTTCAACAGTCATTCTGACTTTGTGGAAGAGCCAGAAGTAGCATGATGCCAGATTGAGTGAATAAAATGGATAAAGACACATCATATTTTTATGAGTTCGCCTTTCTGTTGGATGGCACTAAGCAGAAGCATTCACTGTATTTTTTTTTTCTTTTTTTTGGTACCAGAGATTGAACTCGGGACCTTGCACCTGAGAGGCAGGCAGTGGAACCAGAGCTAAATCCTTGGCCCTATTCACTGTATTTTTGCTCACACCTCATAAAGACGCTCACAAAAGACTTTCAGAACTGCTTTATAGTGGCAAGAATGATGGGACAAGTGTGTTCAAGGTGAGGGGGGAGTATCTTGAAGCTGATTAGTGGCAATGTGTCTTTTATTGTAATAAATTTTAAAAAGATAAACATTCATTGTACATTCTGATCACATCTCATTGGTATCAGCAACAGCTTGATGTTATGGGTATTCCTGTAGATTGTGAACAGTGAGAAGAAGTGCTGATAGTGAAGGCACCTTAATGAACTAGAAGGGAGCTCCCTGTCACTAAAGGGAGTTAGGGAGCCAAACAGATGAAACACCAAGAACGAACAAAGTATTGTACTATTACATTTGACAGAAGGGACAGGAGGGAGACTGGGAAAGCTTCTAAGGAAGGACAGGAATTTGGTGTCCTGGTGGGAAGGGGGTTCAAGGGCCAGGTATGGGGGCAAGGCAAGATCCCACAGTAACAGCTAGGGCAAAGGCAGCTGTGTGCTCAAGGCTACGGCCAGATAGCCAGCAAGTGGAGGTGTGGTGACCAGGAGGGGCGTGAGGGAGGTACACTGTGTGCCGGCTGTAGCAAAAGGTCCAGTACACCTGAGCAACTCAGCAATTCCCTCCCTCATGTCACCTTACTCCCCATACCCTGGGAGATTATTCAGCTTTTCAGGGCAAACAATATGCCCAGGGCCTAACCTAATTCATCCTTGTGGGCCCAGAGCCTAGTTTAGGCGTTGGCAGCAGATGCTGCTTGAATGATGGAAAGAAGTCTTTATACCATTTATTAAACCAAGGGCCAATCAGGTGCTGGGTGAGCTGGTGGAAAGAGTTCTCACTGCCTTGTGAACCTGTCTGTGGGATCAGCCCCAGTGCCCACATGGCTACTGATCTCTGGCTTCCGCCTGAGACCAGTATGTGCCCAGAACACAGTATTATAAAAGTGAACAAATGCAACTCTTCCCATTTTACAAATGACATGTTTCCATCCCCTGCCAGCAGAGGAAGGGGGGTGGGGTTGAAAGCAACAATTCATTAAAAAAGGCAATGACTCTTACAAAATAAAGACAAAGGAAAGAGCCCAGGGGTGGGAAGCTGAGATGTTACCCTGTGGTGGAGCATAAATGTGGGTGGAGAAGACCCTGCCTGTGGGAAGCCAAGCGGAACTCCTGGGCCCTGCTGGACTCAGGCCTGTGGGGACCAACATCAAGGAGGCCACTTGTAGCTCATGTCCGGATGGGGCTCCAGAAGGCATCAGCTCTGCAGGGGAGCATCTCCAGGGAAATGAGCATCTTTCCAGTCTTGATTCTTAGAGACCTCACCTCAGAGGAGAAAGTGACAGGCCTGAGATTGGCATGCCCTGAGCTCTCAGAGGCTCCAAAATGTGAACTGACTTTGCTCATGCCACACACCCTGTCAGTGGGCCCACACTCCCACCTCTAAGGCCCTTAACTGTTTTGCTCCTGCTGCTGAGATGACAAGGAAAGGGCAGGAAGAGTAAGGAGAAGCCCAGGAAAGGGATGACTTAGAGAAAACAGGAAGGAAGCGCAGAAGGCCCAGGCAGAAGGCAGGAAGCTGGGTTCTGGTCAAGCTTCCACCCAGGGGACCTCAGATTAGATTCCTTCTCTAGGGCTCACTTTCCCATCTGTCCCATATGGAGGGTAGACATGGTTTTTTCTTTAGTCCCTTCAATAATTGAAGATCTACCCTGGGTTCCAAAGCAAAGAAAGGGTACGTTGTAAAAGGGACTTCTGGTCCTAAGAGACTGGACCATGGGCCAAGGGTACACTCAGCCCAGTGGACCTGAGTCTGTACTACAGTGGTGGCTCCCACCCACCCTCCTCCTGCCATGGGTCAGGTCAGCCCAGGCAAGAGGGAAGGCACTTGGGGGACAAGTGAGGAAGGGCAACAGACAGGGACCAGAGTCTGGCTTGGCATCGAAGTCCCTCTGCTCATGGTTTAGAGGGGCAATGGGGACAAAGGGACAGACTTGTTCCTGGGTGTTGGCCCAGGCATAAAGCCTTTCCCAGGCCCACAGCTCTGTGGTGATGCCACCACATAGGTCTACAGACTCCCCACTGGCATTGGCACATTTAAAAATGTTATGAGGGACCTGAGCAAGCCCAGGGCAGCAATCTGTCATGTGGCCCCGGACCACATCATTCGTCACAAAATGTCTGGGCCCCTGGCAACAGGTTCCTGGGCATCCCCACAGTGCAGCACCACCTTGGGGCTAGAGCCAGGCTGCCGAGGATAGGCGCCCTCCCGCACCAGGCGTCGGCACTGTGTCCCCTGGCCCACACTGACACTCTGCAGCGCAGGTAGGCGATGCAACAGCACCTCAGGCAGGGGCACCAGTCCTGTGCCCGACAGATCCAGCTCCTGCAGTGAGCCCAGGCCTGAGAACACCTCTGTTCCTGCCCACTTGAGCTTGGGGTTGCCTGACAGGTCCAGGACCTGCAAGCCGGGCAGTTCACGGAAGCCATGGGGTGCCAGCTGGGGGAGACCCTGTAGGCTGGCCAGCGACAGGTGTGTAAGGCCTGCCAGTCCTGCAAAGGCATCTGGGCCAATGGCTGCCAGGGGATTCCCGTCCAGGCTCAGGTAGCGCAGGGGCAGGTCTCGAAGGTCAGGCACAGCATGGAGCCGGTTCCAGGCCAGGTTCAGACTCTGAATGCTGGGCACAGGCAGGCCGGCCCCTGCAGGCTGGGGCACCAGGTGGTGAATGAGGTTGTGAGAGAGGTCCACGTGCAGCGCCCGTGCCTGGCTGTGGGTGGTGAAGGCAGACACTGAGACCTCCCGGAGCCGGTTGTGGCTGAGGTTCACGTCACTCAGTGGGGAACTGGTGAAGCTCTCAGCGGGAAGGGCTGCCAGGCCATTGTGACTCAGGTCCAGAGACTCCAGGTAGCGAAGGCGGGAGAAGGCGGTGGGCGAGATGGTGGTGAGTAGGTTGTGGCTGAGATCCAGGCCGGCCAGTGTAGTATAGCCGGGCCCTGCCAACACAGACTCGTTCACTGTCTCCAGCCGGTTGGAGGACAAGTCGAGGTGGGCTGTGTCTAGCGGGATGGGCACAGGCACAATGTGGGGGCCCAGGCCACTGCAGTCCACTCGGGTCAGGCTGAAGCTGTCAAAGAGGCCAAAGGTCTCCACCTCACACTGGCAACCAGGGAAGCATGGCCGGGTTGTCTGCATTCCACTCACGGCCAGCAAGAGCAGTGGGAACAGCAGCAGAGGCCACAGCATGGTGAGGGCTGGGGAGAGAGCCACACACACAGGTGAGGGTCGGACATACCAAGAAGCTCCTACCCCACCCTACACAACATGAGCCAGCGGGTCTGGACGCAGCTCCCATCCTCCAGGAATACCTTGCCAGAGTACTCTTTGTAATTCCTAGTCCCTGTTCCCCTCTAGCCTGTTTTCCCATCTGTATGGAAAGGGGTTAGGCCAGGTTGTTGGATTTTCAATAAGAAGCATCAGTTAACTTTATAAACAAGAACAGCAGATGCCAAGAGGGCTTGCTTTGGCTCAAGGTAAGGGCCCTGAAGCCTTTCGTGCCTGTACCTCAGGGTTGGGGGTCAGTTTGAAGCCTGCATCTCCAGCTCAGATGGTTTAGGGCCCAGGGGCTGGTGTGGACCTAGTCCCTGCCAGGGAAGCGCTCACAGTGGAAAGCTAGGATTGGGGTGCTCCATTCACCTCAGCTGGACACATGCTATATTCTAGGTACTGTACCAGCTGCCTCCTGGCACTGTCTCACTGACCCTCACAACCACCCTTCAAGGTAGAAATTAAATCTCCATTTCACCAAGAGGGAAGAGCACGGCCTCAGAGAGGTTCAGGGCCACTCGGCTAGGTGTTGTGGCACTCGATAGGGTACAGACATGGGAACCAAGGCCTCACGGGGTCTTCAGGTAGTGGCTGAGCCTGCACTCCCACCTCCCAGAGCAAGGTGCTGCTCCCACTGAGATGCCAGGCCCCAGCTCACCCCGGCACCTTTCCCAGTCTTTCTGAGGTAAGGCCTCCCTTCCAGTTGGGGACCCTGTGTCTAGATTCCCAGCTGGGCTTGGAGAACAGCCATCCCAAGCCTCTGCCCCCTTGAACTGGCCCCAGCTGACAGAATCCTCACACCTCTGTGATCTTTCCATTAACACTGAGCAGGCAGTTGGGCTGGTTCCTCCATTAAACAGATGAAGAACAAAGAGAGGACAAAGGTCTTACCCCAAACTAATAGAAAGCAGGGCAGGATTAGAACCCAGGTCTGTCCAATTCCAATTCCTCTATTTAAATGTGTTACCTCCAACAGGCCTGGAGGAGAGCTGGTGGAGAGGCAGAATCCAGAAGGGGATTTTCCCACAGACACTTGTTACAGCGCAAGCCAGTTCCTCTCTCCAGCCCTCAGTTTCCCTCTTTGTATAACTGCAACAGCAGCTGCCATGTACACAAGCACTATGTGTACCTTACATCGATCAGACTCAGAGCCTGTGTTAATGCTTACTGTGGCTCCCAGGGTACTGGGGCTCAGGGGTACTAGCCTGAGAACCAGATAGTTGTACAGCAACAGCCCCTGACTGGCAGCTTGGGGTCTGAGGCTACCCCTCCCTGCACAGCCGCCACTCAGCTAGGTGTTAGGCAACAGGTCTTCATGTGCGGGGGCCCTGTCCTCCTGCTCTATGTCCTCCTCCCCACTGGCCTTCGGGGAAGGGAGTGGGGAGCGGGACAGGGACTGCCCACCTTCGAGATGGGGTGGGAGAGGTAGGAGGGTGCAGCTGGCTAGCATTACCAGCCCTGCATGAAACTTTAAAGGTGCAGCCACTTGATCTGTACTCTGGCTCTGCCCAGGGCCTGGGAGAACGGGGCTTCCCTGACCTCCCCTAACAGGCCCCTTCTTTTCCACCCTTTTCTTTTGTCAAGGCCAATTTGAGGATTAAACCCAGCCCAGGTGCATCCTGGGCTTGGTCCCAGCTGAGGCAGGACACAGTGTTCCAATGTCTGGAGCAAAAGACAAATATTAAATTGCTTCAGACCCCCTTTGTTCCTCTGGGTGAGCTCCTCACCACAGAGTTCATTACTACTACAGGCCCTGCCTCCCCTGCTAAGCCGATCTGCTCATACCCACCCTTACTGGGGTTTAAACAAACACCACAAAGGCCCCTGAGATTACCCTTTGGTTTCCCTGAGGTGATTATACAATGTGCCCATGAAAGGCCAAGTGGCTTTCTCATGAGCTCCTGCTTATGCAACCAGCAGCCCGAACCCAACCCAACACTGACCCTCCAGCCTCTTGTTCTCGGCACCATAGGGCAGCAATGTCTGGCCTGCGTACCTCACAGCAGTTGATTAACCCTCAGAGAAATGCACTGTAGACTATGAAGAACTGCACATGGAAAGAGAGGTCTTCCCTGGGTACTTGCAGAACTCAGGCAGCAGTCATAACAGCTGATATCAAGGGGGCAGAAGTACACCCACTGAGATCACCATCCCCTCCCATAACAAAGCCAGTGAATTCGCCCAGGGCCCCTACTTCACGTCAGGCCTGGGCCCAGAGCTGGGCATCTGCAGTGGGAAGTCTACAGTGACAGTGCCAATTCCCACCATATACCAATGCTTGACACACCTCTTAACAGTCCTCAGTCACCCAGTGAGATCAGCAGCATAATCCCCACTTGTAATAGCGGAAAGAGAAGAGTCACTTGCTAAGCTGTGTGACACTGGGAAGTTACAGGGTGAAAAAGTGGAAAGAACAGTCCCTTTTTTGAGGAGTAGGGTGAGGATTAGAGCCCCCTTGGGGGACATCCCCAGCAAGGCCAGGACACTAACAGATATATCCCCCAGGCTGTGCTCCAGATGAAGTGCCCTGCCAAGGGAACCCACAGATATACATCTTCACCACATTCCAGGGCAATGACTTGGAGCTATGGTGACAAGTTCCAAAGGACAGTCAGGATCCCTAGTTCTTATTCCCTGCTCTGTCCCAGGCTGTTCCCATCACTGGTCAAGGCCCATCCCCTCGATGAGCCTCAGAAGTCTCCAGGCTTTAAAATTTAATAAAAGCATTTATTAAATCCCTACAAAATACAAAGTCCAAGGCTAGGCTATTTTGGAATGTGTGCGGACACCAGGGCCCTGACCTCGTGAGGCTTACAGACCAGCAGTGGGGACAAAGACCCATTCATAGCAAGATCACTATGCCAGCCTCGGACCCAGGACACATGGACCTGTGTGACCTTCAGTTTTCATTATGTCTTTGTGCCTTAGCTTTCCCATACCAGACCTTTCCCCTCAGAAAGAAGGGAAAGAGAACAGAAGCCACCAAAGAAGTCAAGGGAGGGGTCTTTGAGCCAAGATTCATCCCTTTTTCCCAAACCCTGAACTGCAGATAAAAGATATCTACACATTGACCAGGTTACAGAACAGAAGGACAGGAGGAAAAGGGCTTAGAACTGCACCTCCCTCCAGCCTCCAGCACCCCATCTCCCCACTGGGGAGACATACTAGAAGGTCCTACAGGGCCAAAGGCATGACTTATACATTGTTGGGCCCACAGTGCCTAGTTCACAGGGATTCTGAGGAAAGTCCGCTGACGGTCCATGAGGACAAGAGTAAACTATGCCCTAACAGTTCCAGGAAGTTCTTCCCATGTGACACCCAGCCCTTGTTAAGAGACACCTAGCTCAAACAGCTCTGGCCACATCGCTGTCCTCTCAGGTTCTGCTCTTACCTACAGAAATCAAATTCTCCCAGACAGAGGCTTGCTGGGTCCTGTGCCTGAGCACTCCATCTGGATTTGAACCCTGTTTGTGAGTCAGAGTGCATGAGCACCTTGACAATGGACTCTGAACAACTTTCAGTCTTTGGTCACACTTACCCAAACTCAGGGAATCTCAGGGTTTGGGAGCTGGAGGCCTCTTGGAGATCAATGGTGACTGAGACCCCGAGAGGCAGTGATGCCAAGGAGCAGAGCAGGGCCCAGGAGCTAGGGACCTGATACTTCACGCTGCTGCAAGCACTGCACACATCTACCCGCCTGGCCTGGCCCCACCAGTGGAACAAAGCCTGCTCTGTCCACACTGGCTCTCTCCCAGCCTCCCCTCCCGCCAGGCCTCTCACACCACAGGCCATCAGCAGGCCTCCTTCAGGGGTGAATTCTCTGCTGTCTCGGATTTGCAATGTGAGCAGCTTGAAGCAGAGCCTGGCCATCTTCACCTGTGTACCCTTCCACATCTGGGACAGAGCGGAACAGCCAGGGACATGGGCCAACAGGGAACTGGACGATCCAAGAGCCCAGTGAGGAAGCTATAAAGGGTGGTTGTCTGGTCCCAGATCCAGATGTGAATTCAACTCTACCTACCAGGCCCAAGCAAGGCTCAATGTGGCTGAGTCTGTGTCCTCAACAGAGAAGAACAGAGGATTGTGACAGAATGTGAAGCATTCTGTTCAGTACTGGCCTGTGGTTAAGTGCCTAATTCCTGGAAGACAGTGATGGTGGGATCTTACCAGGCTTCCTGAAGGCAATGATGGTGTATTCTTCACACCCTCCCCAGTGCAGTGCCAAGTACCCAGGAGGCTCATCACTGCTGTGCTAACTCGTCCAGCCATGTTGCTGATGGGTATCAGCAAGGCCCAGCTTCACCCCTGAGGATAGGTGACAGATTGCAGCCAGAGCCCTCCTCGCCCTAGTTACCTGCCCCACTGCCACACCATAGTGCTCTGGCCCATCGAATTTTCCAGCCCCCACCTCAACAACTTCAATAGGGTACCCCTGGTACAAGAACCAGGTGGACACGGGGCCAAGTCACAGCCTAGACCAGGGCCCAGCACACACCTGAGATGGGCCTTTGCCTTAACCAGCTGCTTCTCCTCACCTTGCCCCCTCACTGCTCCCTTAGTCATGAGCGAGCTGACACCAGTGAAACCCCCAGGTGGGAATTTCCTAAGGTTCCTGCCCTCCATCCATGTAATCAGCTCTGGAAATGCAAGCTGAAAGAATTTCAGGGCCAAGGCCAGAGCTGTTAGGGCCAGGTGTGCCCACAGAATCACCAATGCCACACATCTCTGCAAGCCCACCAGCTTACCTCGACTTTACTGCTATCTCCTCTGCCTTACCTGTTCTGACCACAGAGATCACAGGCAAGCAATTGAGCATTATTCACCTGGGTAGCAGGGAAACCAGGAGTAAGACCTAGACACCTTAGCTCCAAGTCCAGGGCTCTGTATGCCATTCTGCCTCAGTTTACAAAGGGGCATATAAAGATGATAGCTTAGAGCTAACATTGACTGTAAATACATGTTTACCTGTCTGTCCTGTGACCCAGGGAGCTGAGCACTAGGCCTGGCACACAACAAGTTCTCTATGAAGGTTTTAGATATCTGGAAAATGACTGTCACCAAAGAGCACCTCTCAACTTGTCCTATGCTGCCTCAACTATTATCTCTTCAGTCATCCTGCAAGATCGGGTCAGATGACACAGTTGTACTTAGTTGGGCCCTCAAAGCCCAGCACCCTCATAGGGGGAGGGTGCCTTCCTGGTACTGTTTTCTCCTTCCAAAACGTCATCTTCCTGAAGACTTTCAAGTTCCTGTAGGTGTGGACAGCATGTGTGTACATGGGGAAAGGCAGTACAGAGCAGAGGAAAGGGGTTTTGCAACTCGGCAAACTCGGCAGACCGGAACCCACCCTGCAGGCCTTTACCTACTTGAGGCTCGTGTGCCTGCACTCAAGTTTGGAGTTTAAGTGTTCACATGTACCACGGTGAGAGACCTAGTACTGTGCCAGTGGGCTACTGTGATGAGTGCTGAGAGAAAGTGAAGACTCAGCCAGGCTGGCACCAATGGATGCTTGAATATTGATTCCCACCCTCTAATGGGTGACCACAGGGGCCAGGGAAGAAAAAGAGCTTCATCACCAGCAGATGCCTAAGCAAGGCAGGGGCACAGGATGGAGAAGAATCCAAAATACATTTCCTGAGGCCTTGGATTCTGTCTCAGGGCACCACCCAGGACCCCAACCAGGCTCTACTAGGGAACTGGTAAGGGGGAGAGGGAAAAGTTGCAGAGGCCAAAGCAGGCTGAAGCAGCTGTGTTGCCTGTGACACAATGAGGACTTGGTGTCAAATAAGCAGCCGCCCTGGGTGGGTAGGTCATTGTCTTTCTTCTTCCTCACCCCCAGGCTGGGCACACCCTCCCCTGCCCAGGCCTGGTCAGGAGGCCCTACTACAAAAGCCTGGCCCAGGCCCCTTCCTCCAATGCCAGGCATGCTGAGCGCCACAGTGCAGCTTGCACTCTAAAACTCACTTCACAACGACTGCTTTCTAGGCTTAAGACCCATTGCTCCCCTAGGACCTCCTGCCTTTGCACTGGCTGTTCCTTCTAACAATGACAACAAAGGGACCCTATTGCAAACTCTTACTTGATTGATTCAAAAGCTGCCTCCTCTGTGAGGCCTTCCCAGTCTAACCTGCCCCTCGTTAACCAAAGTGTTACCTCTTCCTGGGCTCACATGGCTCCTGGGCTGCCCCTGGTCTAGGGCTGCCTACAAAAATCTACGCGCAGCTTCTCTTCCACATGAGGCCTGGCCATGCAAAGGGGGAAAACCAGATGAATGACATGTCAGGGAACCAAACTTCCTTCCAATTGGGGATGCTTGCAAAATACTTAGGGCTTTGCCAAGTGGTGTAATCGGGTTTAGACCCATGGTAGAACTGGAGATTAGCTGAAGGCTGAGGATCACTACAAGCTGGGATTTGAACCTCAGGCATTTCTCTTGTGAGTACAACCCAGCAAATGTCTGTACAATGCATGCTCCAAACCTCTTCTCATCTTATTAGCACATATAAGTCATTATCCTATTTATGTATACAACAGCTCAGCAGGGCAGGAATTAGTGCCATCATGTGAAGGATAAGGAGACTGAGAATCAGACCAGTGAATTGTCCCTGGCCATAGAGCTAGGAAGCAATGCAGTGGGAGGAAAAGCTAGACCTTCTGACTCTAAGAGCCTGGAGAACACTGCCTCCAGATTGGTCTCCCAGCCTCCAGCAGCACCCACAAGCCAGAGGGTTTTGTGGAAGTGTCAATCCCACCCAGTTGTGCCTGCAGACCCTCCAACAGGTCTCCAGTGCCTAAGGTTCAAATCTCAGCTCAGAGTGATCTTCAGTAATTTGGCAACTGCCTTCCCTCCCAGTCTCCAGTTCAACTCCAATTCCGAAGCCCAGGACCTTGCATCTGACAGTCCACACAGTGCTAACCTCCTCCATGCTGTTGGCAGAGCACATGGAGTCCTCCACACGCTGTTCCCGCTGTGAGCACTGCTTCCTGCCTCCCCTGTGCATTCACTGACTTCAAAACCCTGAGCAGCTAGGTGCTGTGGTGCGTGCCTGTAATCAGTTACTTCTCATTCCAGCCATCCAGGAGGCTGAGGCAGGAGGTTCAAGAGGAGTTCAGGAGGCCAGTCTGGGAAACTTAATGAGACACTATCTCAAAAAATAAAAAGGACTCTGAGGTGCAGCTCAGTGGCAAATTGCTTGCCTAGCATGTGTGAGGCCCTGGATTTCATTCCTAGTACAAAAAAACCAACACTGAGCAGATGAGCAGAGTTATCTGCTGTTGGGCCCCTCACCCAGGTTTTTCCCATAGAACCTGTCTTAAAACTTGCTCTGCCAGGAGACTTCCAGGTGGGGCCCAGACTTCCTTAGAAAGTATCCTCAGTGCCTAGCATAGCTCAGCCTTGCCCTAAGAAATGATGTGAAGTTTTTTACCCCCAGTCCTGGGGATGGAATCCTAGGAGTCCTGAGCTACATCCCAGCATCCCAGTTTTGTTTTTTTGAGACAAGATCTCACTAAGTTGCCCAAGATGGACTCAAACTTGTGATCCTTCTGCCTCAGCATCCTGAACTGCTGCTATCACAGGGGTGTGAGCCACTGTGCCCAGCTGGATGAGTGAACTCTTCAGTGCACCACTGCTGCTTTGAACCAGAAGTTTGAATTAGGAAGAAAATTGACCTGATCTCTGCCCACCCACAAGCTGTTTTTTCCCCTCCATTTTTGAGTTGTCTGCTTTTGCCTTTGAGCCGGTGGAGAATGGTGGTGAAAGCTATGAGTTGCATTGTGATCTCCTGTTCCTGAGGAGCAGTTAGTGCCCGGGAATTGGTCAAGTCAGAAAGGAGGTATATATTACACATCAAAGAGTTTCCAGGTTCTAGGACCTCAGGCAAACAGTCAGATCATCAAGGAGGGAGAGAGGCTGTCCACATTTCCTCCAGAAGCTGGACGACGGCCCAGAGAAAGAAGGAAAGTGCCCTCCTTCCCTCCTTCCTACGGCAGTGGCCAGCGGCCTCCCTCTGGCCTGCAGCTTTCGGCAAGTTCACTGCAGACTCTGGAGCGGGGAGGCAGATGTGAGGGCTATCTATGCCACACAGGATCAAAAGTCTGTTGGGAGCCGGGGTTTTCGCTCAGTGGCACCGCGCCTGCCTCGAAAGGTCCTGAGTTCAATCCCAGATACTAAAAGAAAAATCTGTTGGGTCTGCTCCCCCTCCCTCTCTGGCCAATACCTGAGCTCTAAAAGTCTAGGCTTATCCCAAGGGCACAGCACAACAGTAAGGATAGAACCACACTTGCCAGGCTGAGTGTGCGCGGGCAGGTGGCGTCTGGGTGACCGCCACTCGGCGAGGCCTAGCAGCACCCTAAAGAGCCCGGTGCCTACAGTGGGCCACTGACCGTCCCATTGGAAAACAGCGCGTGCACGGTTCTCTCTTCTAACTCGAGGTCCTCGGGCAGGCAAGGCGGCGATCAGGCCTGAGGCCAGACTGACGGTGGCTTCTCACCTACCAGACCAGAGGGCTGGTCCTCTCTCCCCGGGCGGGCGGGCTGCAAATTTGGAGGAGCGCCAGGCGGAGCCGAGGGCTGGAACCGGTCTCTGGACTAGGCAGAAGCCTCTAGATCACACCCACTCTCTTCCCTCCCTCTTTCCCCGTGGCGTCCGGCACGGGTGTAGGGCTCGCTCCGCCCTGTCCAAGCCTGTACAACGCGGATCCCCCACCCACCAATCCTCCCCCATCCCCTCGCAGCCCAGCCGACCTCCGGAGGTGAGAGCTAGGGGGGCTGCCAGGACCCCCCATCCCCGCCACTATTCTGGGCTGGCGGCCGCGGGGACGACGCAGACTGTTGCCGAAGGAGCCCAGAGAAAAGTTGGAAGCCAACTGGGGGGGCGGATGGACTGCGGTGGAGCGGGGAGCTGGGGCGGCGTCCGGCTCCCAGCGCGCACCCGCTCCTCGGTCACCCACCCAGACACGTCGACAGCGCGGACCCTGTCCGCACACGCGCGGCGGCGCGCCCACCCACACCCACGCGCGAGCCCACCCGCGCGGACACGGGCACAGGGGAGCCACACGAAGCCGCGGACTCACAAAGGCAGGGACAGAAGCACGGCCCGGAGCCCAAAGCCACAAAGCCCCACAATCGTGAGGTGCACGTGTCCGCACAAAGACCCCGGAGGCTCCGGCCCACGCCCACGGTCACCGGGCAGAGCCTTTGTCTCCCAGAAGCCCTCTCCCCTCGGTCCGGGTTCCCCTGGCCGCGGTGGCCGTCGCCCGGTCCGGGAAAAGTTGAGGGGTCCGGGCGGGACCCAGCCCCGCCCCGCTGCCGCCTGCCCGCCGGAGGCAGCCGCAAGCTTGGAGTCGGGGCTGCTGCGCCCGTCCCACTCCCGCTCCGCCCCGGGACTCGCACCTACCTGGAAGGCTGAGCGGCTACCGCCTCGGCGCGCTCACCTAGGCGGCCCGGCGTGAGCCCTCGGGCCGGCGCTTTTCTCCGCGCGGTGCGGCGCCGCCCGCCCCTCCGGCCCCTGCCCGCCCCCGGGCTCCCCGCTGCCCCGCGCCCAGTGACTGCGGGAGCCGGCGGCCGGGAGGCTCAGGGAGTGTCGCCAAAGTGCCGGTCTGGCCCGGCTCTTTCAGCCCCACCCCCTGCCCGAGCCAGGGTCCCACCCTAGGGAGCGTCTCAAAAGTGCGCAGCTCCCGCCCACTCCACTAGGCCTCACTCCCAACTTCCTGCATCCCTACTCCTTGCCCCCTCCCCCTGAGCACCGGAGCAATTTCAGCAGATGGCCTCACGGTCAGGAACATCTGGAGGTCGCCGAAGTGCGTACGCCTGTGTGTGTGTGTGTGTGTGTGTGTGTGTGTGTGTGTGTGTGTGTGTGTGTAGAGAAAGAGTTGTTGGTAAGAAAGAGGATGAGTGGATGAGGGTTTCCTCTTCTCCAATTGTAACCCCCCCCCCCCGCCCCAATTTATTTTCAGAGTCAGAGGTCTAGAAAAGTTAGAGACACCAAAGAATCTGAAGCAGAGAAAGACTGGCCGGAAGACGAGCCTACAGAGGAGAGCTGGGCTTCGGCAGAAAAGCTGGCAGTCGAGGAGAAAGCCAACAGACTTGTTTCTTTTAAAGAGAGAACGGTCAGCTTCAGGCCGAATTTTTAGGCAGGGAAACTGTTGGGACCAGGCAACAGTTTAAGTGTGTCCCTTCCTCCTCTGCAGCCCATCCTTTCCCACACCTCTATATGCTAAAAGAGGCAGGAAAGCATGCAAAAAGCAAAACAAAACTTTTAAAATAGAGGCTTGCAGCGAGGAATTACCTGATGAATGCATTCCCAGGAAAGCATGCAAAAAACAAAACAAAACAAAACTTTTAAAATAGAGGCTTGCAGGGAGGAATTACCTGATGAATGCATTCCCTGGAAGGGAAAGGAGGGGGTCCCAAGCTGCACACCCTGACAGTGCCCCCCTCAGAGGGGGACAGTTCTGCACTGGAGGGATGGGGGTGGGTAGTGGAGACTTCTATCCCGCCCTGGACCTCCCAGGAACTTCTGTCCCACTTCGGAGAGAGTGGAAACATTGGGCAATGTTCCCCCTGCCTGGCCCAGACTTGCTACATCCAGTCTTTTTACTCCTTTCCTAATTACTTTAAAAAACAAACAAAATGTTGGTTGGGCTTTTGTGTGTGCATATGTGTGTATGCATGAGTGGGTGTGTCTGGGGAAAAGAGGGGAAGGGTCTCTGCAGCAAAGTCGGACCTGCTGCTCACAGAATGAAGTGGTCTTGCAAGTCCTGTGGTTGTAGGGACTCCCCTGGACTGAGACCCATGGAGCCTTCCAGTTAGAGAGATACAGGGTGACAGCTGGGAGCCTGGTCTTACATGTGTGGGAGCAGGGAGCACCCTTCTCTCCTCTGCACTCATTACCCTCTCCAGCTAGGATCCAGCCGCTGACTGGGAGGCCTTGATATCATCCAGCTCAGAGTCCTCAGCAAACCATCTGCACTGGTACCATATGCCCCTCTGTGGCTGGAGTCCTCCTCACAGTTGAGCTTAATACTGGGGCTCCTGAAACTTAACTTTGCACACTTTGGGCCTCTGGGGAGGGGTCTGAACCCTCCTTCCACCATCCCACATCCCAAGGCTCCCTGTTTGGTTGGGAAAGGGGCCTAAACCAGTATCTTCTCAGGATCAAGCTGAGACAGGTCCAGGTTCTAGCCCTGTACAGTATTTAGCAGCTCTAAGTAAGCTTAGTCAAGTTACCTAACCTCTCGGAAACAGTTTCTACAACTGAGGGGTAAACAAGGTAACTTTGGAAAAGCTCACAGGAAGAACCACGGTGTGTGGTTGTAGTTACTAAAATATCTTCCATCAGGTATTAGGGTGGCAGCCGGAAATTCGGCAAGCTTGGGAGGGGAGGGACAGGGGAATGAATGGCTTGTCCAGCCTAGTGTGGGCTGCCTTTTCTGCTAACTAGGAGGGCATCTTTTGAAGGAGTCCCCTGCCTGCCACTTGCCTTGCCCCAAGGAATTTCCTCCTTTCTCGCTTGGAGTGAATGGTAAATTTCCCAGCTGGCCCCAGAAGGGCCTCTCACTTTATTAATGTGGTAAACAATTCTTCACACTTTGCTGGTAGCTAGAGGCAGTTTCTGAGCTTCCAGATTCATCCTTGCCCTTGCCCTTGATCTTCTTTTTTTTGGTACCGGGGATAGAACTCTGGACCTTGTGTTTTCGAGGCAGGTGGTGGCAGAACCACTGAGCTAAATCCCCAGCCCTGCCCTTGATCTTCTGGGAGGTGGCCCCCAGCTGGAGAATCTCAACAGCTCTCCCCCTCCTCCATCACCAGGCCTCTGGTTGACAATCTCTTTGTCTCTAGGCTCCTCCCTCCTAGCTCCTGTCTGTGGTCCAAACTGCCAGAAGAGAAACCTTTCTAAACTACAAATCTATAAAATGCTTCATGACATTTACCTGTTTAACCCTTCACGGGGAAAAGTCAAACTCCTTTGCATGGTTTTTGAGGCCTATGTGATATGCGTCCCTGGGCTCTACCTCTGACCATCCCCCCTCAGCTCCCAGGCTCTATCAAGGAAATAAGGAGGAGGGAGAGTAGGTGCCCTGGAATTCTTCAAGTTTATGTCCCAGGTCCCCTTCCTTCTGGAAGTCCTTTGCCAAAGTCAGTCCCTCTTCCTATTATAGTGTGTTGCAAATCACTTTGTATTTGAGCACTGTTTTTTTTTTTTTTAGGCATTCTCTTCACCCTTCTTGAAGTCATCCTGGCCCTGTGACATGTCAGAGAATGTGCTAGGTACTTTAAAAATCATTCTGACATTTAATCCAAACAACAACCACCCTGGATTGTTAGTGGAGAAGCTCAGAAAGTGCAAGAGGTCAGCATGGGGTTACACAGTGTTACGGTTTATATCTGGATATCCCCTCAAAGCCTCCTCTGCTCATAGATGGGGTTTTGGGGAGGTGACTGGATCATAAGAGTGTGATACTTATCAGTGGAATAGTCCATAATGAGTTTAGAACTAAATGTGATTTGGGAGGTGAAGCCTGGTCAGAGGAGGTGGGTCACTGGGGGCGCGACCTCGTAGAGTCTCTCCTTTCATCCTGCTTAGATCTCCCTCTCTGTCTCTGCTTCCTGCCTGCTATGCCATGAGCAATTCTCCTTTGCCTTGCCCCTCTGCCATGCTGTCCTGCCTTGGAACCAGCAGACTATGGAATGAAACCTCTAAAAACTGTGAGACAAAATAAACCTCTCCTCCTTAGAGTTGTGGATGTGGGTATTGTGTCTCAGCAAGGAGAAAGTAACTAAGATGCACAGCATAGTCTCTGAAGAGCTAGGACAGTTAGGACTCTGTTGCTTTCTACTACCATGCAGTCTCCACAAAGGGCAAAGTGTGGTGTAGTAGAAAGTTCAGGAACTCTAAGGGTCTTGAGTGCGCGTTGTCACTCTGTCACTGGGTAGTTGTGGGCCTTGGGCAGTCACTTCCTCCCTAGAGCCTTAGTCTTCTTACTTGTAAAATGGGGATAAGTAAGAAGCTGTACCTCACAGACATTGGGAAGATCAAACAAGTTAATGCAATGCAAATATGTTGTAAGCTGTAGAGTGCTGTGTGCTTTTAATTGACTTACCTAACCAGATCATGTGGCTTAGGATGATTACTTGAGGATCTCTCTTCTCAAAGAACTCTCCTGTGGTGGTCAGAGGGCATCACTAGTCCCTTTGGCTGCTTTGCTCATTTCCTGTATTTTGGAAAAGTCTCTCTAAATCCAGTGTATCTCCACAAGGTTACAGGAGATCTATTTTTTCCTCCTGCACTGTCTTCTTTCCAGCTGTCAGAAGCTAGCAGGTCTAAAGTCAACAGAGGCTCAGGACCACATAAGAAGAAGTAGAAAACAAGCACTGGGTGGGGAAAGAATATGTCTCCCACTCCCTTCTGATTCTGTCAGTCTGAGTTGGCAGGTGGCATGTTATATTTCCTGAAAGTCCCTTGGTTAGTATGAGGACTGGGTGACATGGCAGAATGTCTTAGGGTTGGCAAAGTCCTTCCCCACACCTTCTTACTTTTTAAACCTCTGAGCAAAGTTCTTAGGTAATTGATTATTACTTCCATTTTACAGATGTGGAAACTGATATTCAGAATGACTCATCCATGGTTGCACAACTGGAACTTGAAGCTGACTCAGTGAGGTAACTTGAGCCATTCTGCTGTAGGGCTAGTTCTGTGCAATGACTTTGCTGGTGTCTCAGCAGTCACTGTATGACAAGCACTCCTTCCCTCCTGCCAAATCAAATGCGTCCCTAAATATTTCTCTCCCACTCTCCCACCCCCATGCTTTTCCCCTGCCTGGAATGCTTTTCTCAGCCCAGTCTACCAGCTGCAATCCCTGCTGCCTTCCAAATCCACCACCTCCTTCGCAAAGACATTTCCATTTCCCACAATTTCTCTTCCACTGAGCCTGGAAGCACTTGGTTTGTGGCTCAGTACAACCTGTTCTACAGTCCTGCTTCCTGCCTCCATCTGATGCTCTGCATCCCAGCTGTTAAGGCTCCCTGCAGATGCTGGGAGTTCCAGGTCTTTGGTCCTTCAGAGGTATTCTTTGCCCCACCGTAGCTCTTACTTATATCAACTTTAACTTAAGCATCACCTCTTCCAGTAAGCCCCCCTTGGCCTCCCCTTCTTTTCTGGTGCCTTGGTATACTGAGGACACTTCTATTAGGAACAAGATTGTTCAATCATTGATTCCTTTATTAAGGCAAGGTGCATTCTTTGGAGCCAAATCCCACAGGTTTAAATCCCAGCCTCAGAGTGGGCAAGTTCTTACACCAATCTCTCCCTGCCCTACTTCTTAAATCTGTAAAGTGAATGAAACAATAGCTCCTACTTCAAAGGTTATTGTAAAGATTAAATGAATTAATCCAGGTAGAATGTGTCAGACAGAGCCTGGAATGTAGTAAAACCACCTGATGAATATTCCTGACTACTTTTATGGCTTATTCATTCTACATCATAGGAAAAGCATTTCCTATATTTTTGTAGACAGGGAAGAGGATTCTCTGAAGGTAGCAGAGTAGGGAACATCAAGAACCTGTCTTCTGACTGAGACAATTGCTGACAGAATCTGTCTGCTATAACTGCTTTGGAACTCAGGACTACTGAAGGCTTAAAACTTCCAAGGAATTATTGGACAGGAAATTGTGGCTAATTTCATTCCAGTTCAGCTGGTAACACAGTAATGGCTAGTCCTACAGCTGTGCATGTGTACCTGGAGAAACCTGCACATAATTTGTGAGAACCAAGCTGCACAAAAAGTTCACTGTCTTGAATACTGAGACCTGAGCTCTGATCCTGATTATTGCCTCTGCTCCAAAAAGTGTAGATGAAGAAGCAGTAAGGTTTGTTTCTGAGCCTCCCAAATGTTCCAAGACCCTTGTCCTCCAGCTAAAGCAACTTCCAGGGGATTTAAAGAGCTGCTATCCTTTCCCTCTTTATTTTTTCCCCCTTTGAGAGCTAGATATTATAGGCTAGCCCATGCAAAAGCAGTTGAATAAGGGCTGGGGATATAGTTTAGTGGTAGAGCACCTGCTTAGATGCTCTAGGGCCTAGGATCCCCAGCAGCACAATTTTTTAAAAAGCAAATGCATATATGAAAAAATTACAAAGTGACCACACATGTTAGAAAAGACTCAGGAAGAGTTTAAATTTACATTCCACCTCAGGCTGGTCCTTGACACATGTCACCTTTCAACAATAATAACAAAACTGACAAAAAATAGCAAGCCTTAGGGAAAGGGGAGAATCTAATTTCCAGAGCTACCAAAGTATTAGCTTAATTTTCAACAAAATATCACAAGGCACACAAAGAAATGGAAATGTATAGCTCATTCATAGGAATAAATAAACCAACAGAAACCAAAGAAGACTTGGATGGAGATCTACTTTTAAAAGACTTTTTAAAAAACTTTGTTAAAAATGCTAAAAGGGATATGTGGAGAAAGTCACAAAAATGATGTATGAATAAAATGGAAGTACTCATAAAAAGATAAAAAAACCTAAGAACAAACCAAAAAAATTTTGGAACTAAAAAGTACAATAACTGAAATGAAAATTTTACTATAAGGATTCAAAGACAGATTTCAGGAGGCAAAAGAAGCAGCAAATCTGAAGATAGGACAATGGATATTATCAAGTCTGAGGAACAAAAGAAGATTAAAGAAGAATGAACAGAGCCTATGGGATACAATCAAGCTGACCAACATATGCATTATGGGAGTCTCAGAAGAAAGAGAAAGAAATGAGTAGAAAGAATATTTGAAGAAATAATAACTGCACATCTTCCAATTTCATAGAAAATGTAAGTGTAAGCATTCAAGAAACTCAACAAACAAACTCTAAGCAAGGTGAACTCAGAGACCCACAAAGAGGTATATGATAATTAAATTGCCAAAAGCCTGACATAGAATCTTAAAAATCTTGAAAGTAGTAAGAGAGAACTCATCACATACAAGGAATTCTAAATAAGATTATCAGATTATTCATCAGAAACTTTGAAAGCCAGAGAGTAGCAGACTGATATATTCAAAGTGCTAAAAAAAAAAAAATGTCAACTAGGGAGGGTATATCCCAAGTGTCCTTCAAAGGTGGGGAAGAATTAAGATATTCCCAGACAAAAGCTGAGAGAGTTTGTTACTACTGGACCTGCAAGGGAGTTCTATGGGGTGAAAGGTAATTCAAAGCTGTATGAAAAAATAAAGATCTCAATAAGGATAAATGTATGTGTAGTTATGAATGCTACCATTATTATGACAGTTCATAACTCCACTTTTTGTTTTCTACATAATTTAAGAGACTACTTTAAAACATTAGTTTATGCACACAATGAATAAAAATGTAGTTTTGTGAAATCAATAACCAAAAGGGAATAAGCTGGAAAATGGACAATTCAAGTCTTAGATGGGATGGAATTGACAGTGAGAATAGTGCAAGATTTCATCATTCTACTCACAATAATTTAAAATTTATGAATTATTTCTGGAATTTCTGTTAATATTTTTGGAACTTAGTAGACTGCAAGTGTATTGAAACTGTGGAAAGTGAAACTGGGTAAGGGAAGGTTACACTAATTTTTAAAATGTAAATGGATTAAACTCTAATCAAGGCAAAGATTGACAGAATGGATTTAAATAACATGTTCAAACTACAGAGGCTCCTTAACTTATGATGAGGTTATGGCCCAATAAACCCACTGTGAGTTGGAAATATCTTAATATCAAAAATACATTTATACCTAATCTATCAAGCACCACAGTACATTGTAGATTATTGGCTGTTTTCTCTTGTGATGATATGGTTGACTGGGAGCTGTGGCTCCTTGCTGCTGCCAAGCACTGCAAGAGAGTATCCTACTGCATATGACTAGCTTGGGAAAATACAAAAACTCAAAATTCATACTTTGTTTTCTACTGAATGCATATTGATTTTGCACCACTGTAGTAAAAAAAAAAAATTAAGTCAAACTATCATAAGCTTGGGCCCATGTATATAAGCTCTATACAAGAGATTCACTTTAGATCCAAAGATACAAGTAGACTGAAAATGAAAGGATTACAAAAGATATTTCAAGCAAACAGTAGCTGAGGGAGCGGGAATGGCTATTCCAATAGCAGAAAAACAACTTTAAATATAAAACAATAGACTGGAAATGTACTTCAGTGGTAGAGCACTTGCTTAGCATACATGAGGTCCTGGATTCCAGCACACACCAAAAAGGAAGAGAGAGACAAAAGAGGACTATATCTACAAAAGTTACAGTATAGCAAGAAGATGTAACAATTATGAACATTTGTATAACTAATGAGCCCACCAAAACTGGTAGAAGTGCAGAGAGAAGTAGTTCTACCATATTTGAAAATTTCAATACTTTATTCTCAATAACAGGTAGAACAACCAGACAGACGATAAATAAGGAAGAAAAGGACTCAAGCAACATAACAGATGAACCAGATCTAACACACATACACTTGATGGACATAGTTTCAGTTTGACAAGATGAAAAGAGTATGGAGATAGACAGTGGTGATGGCCATACAACATTATAAATATTTAGCACCACTGAACTCTACTCTAAAAAATGTTAAGATGACAAATTTTATGCTACAAATATTTTACAATAAAAAGGACAACAGGAGCAGAGCCATCCCCAGCACAGAGGAGGTGAACCTTCCAGACTGCCATACCGCCGTCCCCAGCACTAAGGAGGTGAGCTGCCCAGGCGCCAGCTGCACACCACCCTCCCCCTACCCCATTGAAATGAGAAGACATATAAACAAGTCTCAAAATCAGACTTCCAGATCACCTAAAGCAACCACCTGGACTCCCTGAACTGGCAACAAAAGAGGATCTGGGAAAAATGAAATCAGAAATAATTTCTCAGATAA